TTTCTGTAATGAAAATGTGTCTATATGAGACAGAATCGTTTTTAATCAAACACTTCTGGCTTGAAAGCTGCTAAACTTGGACAAAAGTTCCCTTTCTTTTCAACACGGAATTCTCCTTCGATATTTACCCAAATTTAAGTTGTTATTTATATAACAATTCTAATACCTGAGTAGACAAAGCCGACCAGAACGTGGCCAGACGAGTTCATCATTCATGGAAATTAATGTTTAAAACACAAGTCTGGGTAAGTAGAATAATCTATGCCAGCGTTACACGACGACGTTGTACGGAACGGTGCTTTGTGATAGTATCGGACAGTGATAAATTGATATTTTAATTTATCTATAGGTTGCTATTCCAAATACGTTTAGTTGTATTCCGTACAGGATATTAATCGGTTTTATGTAGACATAAATTATTATTATCTATACGTATACAAGTCACCGGAGTCCTGTGTACGGTAGATTCGTATTTAATTTGCGTGGATATTTTCAGAGGGAAAACCTTATTTAGCTTAAGAGTGATTATTGACAAAGCCCCACAATCTTCTTTCAGAAACCTTTCGTTATTATCCTCTATCAGTTGTTGTTTACTACCAGCACACAATTAACCACGGTTCCTATTGCTCTATCAATATGCTGTAATGGTATTGTGTTATGAGGGTAAATTTCAATTTTCTATACCTTCTGTACAATACATTTCCTCACGACGAAGATGCTGGGAACCACTTACTACAGACCGGACAGTCGATTTCCGCAATTACTTGGTCCAGTTACAACAAATGATCATCAAGTACAACAAATGAAAAGGTGGGAGAAGACTGTCGGCAGTGACGGAGTATACATAACATAATAACTTAACGTCCCAGGAAAAAAAGGTGCTGTTTTTTAGCCCGGTAAGTAAAAATGCGGGTAACAGAAAGAAACTTACTATCCAAGTTAACACTGGCTAATCGAAAAAGTACTGACATGAAACGACTTAAGTTGCGTCAGGCGGTGCTTGGTGCCGTTCGTATGCCGAGATTCGGCAGTAGGAAATGTGTTCAAGTGTCATTACTCAGTACTAAGATAAAGCGCCTTGCAAATGAGAGAAATTTGCGCAAAAAACGTTTTTTTTTTTACAAATTTACTATGATAAAGGCACAAATTCTACTCGGGCCCATAGAAAAGAACTGTGAGCTATTTATGGTTGGGATTCGTCATTGAAAGAGATGGTCCAAAGATGGCTCTGTCCCTTTTGTACTGGCAATTTCAATCTCAAAGCTTCCCCCTATTGATCGACCGAACTACAAAAAATTGACAAAATATCGCGAGGTCAACCGATATGTCAGTAGCGATTACATCACAAAGAAACTTAGATATCCAATACTGAATAATTTTAAAAAAAGGTGGTTACAAGAAAAAGCTCGATGTCTGGCTGCCACGAGAATTGGCGCAAAATCAGCGTTGCATTTTCATAAACATAACGAGTTCGAGCCATTTTTAAAGCTATTCATGATGAGGAGCGGATAATAGATATGCGAAAAAGCTCATGGTCTAAGCGCGGCAAAGCTCTGCAATCTGTGACAAAGCCCAGCGTGACGCTGTGTGTGAAAGCGATGAGTCCGATAGAGTTGGGAAAAAAAAATCATGCATCAGGAAACTGCTCCGAATTTTCGGAATCAACAGCTAACGTACAATAGGCTATTGACACAGTTAATGAGCAGAAGGGAGTCGCTCTTAATCACGATGATGTCGGACCACATATTTCGTTAGCTACCCCACAAAAGTGAAGACAACAGGGATGAGAAATATTATTACATTCCTGTGTAGCCCGGATCCCGTACAAACGGACCAATCATCTGTTTCAGTCTCTGCAGAACTGCCTTAATGATGTACATTTAGTTTTAATGGAGAAAGGAATATATCGTTTGTTAAAGGTTTTCATCAGAAACCACAGAAGTGTTACGGTGATGAGAGTACGGTGTTATAGGGAAAATAGAAAAGGCCAAAATGCTTCATATTCAGTTTTTCATAAATCATCTGTGTATATATTTAATGTATATGTAAATAATAAGTGTCGCCAGACTGACAAACGCTCGAATTTCCCCTTTTTCTCACATGTTTTCCCGATTTCAGACATGTACGTCTGCAATTTTAATATGCGGTTTCGGACAATCGCAAGTAGATAAACTGGTTGTGACTTCCACTGAGACTAATCCGCATAAATGAAAGCCGTCGCCTACGAGAGTGTCACTTCTCTAATGAAAAAAAAAAACAAGTTGAAGTTATAATTGACAGGCTTAGTGATACCACCTGTCAAATCAATGCATGTTTTGATGGTTTACGATAAGTCTCGATGGTACATTTTGAAAAGATGACAAGTGAAAGCCTGTAGACAAACGTAATTATTCAGAGGTTTGATTATTCCATGAACAGAACCAAATGTTACATTTTCTTTATAATCCATGTCATGCCCCCGTCGCTTTATTAAGTAGAGCGAAATACAGTTTTTCGCCCATGTATTCTTAGAATTGGTACTTTGGTGTATATGCAAATGACCGTCTACTGCGCCGAAGGACGCAGTACCGTAATCATTATTATTATTACCCATCGTTCTGATAGAAGTCAACGACGAATTTCCTGGTGTTACATCGAAGAAACGTCGACCAATATGAACTAACAGGCATCTAGTTAAGTTTTTGGAAAAAAAATTTTACATCTGGCCAAAGTAACTTGTAGCATTTATCGATTGTAGCCACTCGCGTTGATGGGATGAAATTTGTCGTCCATACAAGGCGTTGTATGCAATTAAAATAGCCATAACGATGCCAGCTTCTGCACATACGGATATTCGCATGATCGACTTTGTTTATCGAAAAACTCCCTGATTCAATACATTTCCATAGTTAACTTTTTCTTACGATACGTGGCCTATAGGCTATACGTGTATATTTTACCGGGTTATACCATGAAGACCGGATCAGGTCCGCAGGGGTTGTAAGGCTCCAGGAGATTATTTCTTACAGTATTACGAAAGTAATGTGCTTTAATTTAAAGCTTACTTTGTAGCCAATGTCTCTTATCTCTTACGTTGTGAGTACTCCTGACGCGGCACGGTTCTTTCCTAGCCCTCCGTAAGTACGCTTGTTCTTCCGATGAGGTATAGGTTGCCTACTCCAGGCCATCTAATTTATTCAGTCTTCCCGCCTTTCCCTTAGCGATAAGCGATTCCCGCTGGTACAATCATAGCTTGCATACCTTTGCGACCTTACGCAAATACTTGATTAACTTTTTGAATTAAGACCCCTTAAGCTATCAGTTTATCATTAATAATCTACTCGTAGTATTGTCTCTACCTTTGATTTTCTCTTCAATGAAATCTACCTATTATCCAATACTTTTACGACATGCACGCGTTTTCTAAGTTTTTCTACACTCTTAGATTCGTACGCAATAAGACCTTTGCGTATAAGTGCTACAGGGAATACCTTAGCACTTCTGTCTTCTGCCTCGACTGTGAGCTGCTCTTGGAGGCGAGCTTTTCTAGAAAAAAAAACGTTACATATACCCTCTATTCAATGCGTCCATACAGTTAATTAGGTTTCCCCCAGGGCTTTAATAAACACTTCATTATGTTTGTTTAACTAAGTGCATTATCACAGACCCGTTACGAAAATTTCGTATTCCAGTGACAATACCCGCTCAGCAGAACTTTCTCTATTCTTTTTCCTTGTATAAACAAATTAGCAATACTTTGGCCGTATAAAAAAAGCGAAAATAAACATAGAGCAGGTATCCTTTAATACTACATTCTACTATATATATATAAAAAATATATACACTCGGTCGCTACACGAACGCTAGATTCCGCTATTACGTAGCGCAATTTAAGGATCTGCATATAAACACTCGTTCAATATTTAATTGACTCGTTCAATTATTAATCCATTCAAATGCGTTTTTCAACTATTTTGTGCGTCGCAAGGATTCGATCTATGAGGTCCTATTTTGCCAAAAATATTCTCAATTGGAAGATTGGGTCGGATACATAAACAAGCAACATTGTATCGTTGGGCACTTTGGAATTTCGAGTTCGCTGCTGCTTGCACTTCATTCGACGTTTTCGAAAATAAAAATCCAATTAACATCAAAAACCTACAACGACTATGCTAGTTACCTCTGTTCAAGATAGAGGCGATTTTTCGTACGTGTAACACAGTTCTACGACTGCATAAAGTATTAATAAAAAGGAATATGCACTTAAATATAGTAAGTTATTATTTTCTAAGGGTAAAACAATAGGTAAACAAACAGTAGAGTATGTAACATCACTGGGAGATACAGAAGGAATAAATTTCTCATTTGGATTGCTAATTCTTCTTAGCTACACCCCATTTAATTGATGGGACGATACATACAAGTTATAAAGTCCTTCCACTGTTAGTCCGAGTTTTATGAGACAGCATATTGGCTCCTTTGCGCATAAACAACTATAGTGAGTCTCATATTTGCCTGTTATCTGTTTGACACTTGAAGCTTTGAAGTATTTAAATATATCGGCGCTCATTATACTGTAACGGTATTGTTTGTTTTAAATCTCTTAAAAGATGTTAACGTTTCTCTTACGGTGCATTGCATATACGGATGACATGTGTTTCTTTACCTTAAAATTAGATCTGAATCGTCTGGCCTGGTCCTTTCGTAGGTATACGTCTCAAATTATACATGCTCTTTTCATTTGTGTTCAGTGCTTCCGATACTTACCTACTAACCATTCATATACCTGTTTCCTTTGCCTAGGAAATATATAGATTCAAAATTTGGCGCTCTTTTCCTTCACCTAATCTCATTCGCAAGTAAGTCCCGGGTCTTTTGGGACAAAGGGTGACCCTCAGGTACGCCCTTCGCCCTTTCTACTTGTTCCCATCTCCACAAACATTACCCTCCCTTTCGGGTGGCGAGTCCAAGGATCCCCGACGTCGCTACAACCTAACCCTAGCTGGCGCACAGAGTCGACTCGCCCAAGAGGGCGTCAGTCAGCTAGAGTTCTAGTGGCACGGTGCACCCGAGCTGCTTGTAGTGACGAACGCTCGTTGTCAATTGCTCGCTGGCCGAGAGGCAGAAAAAAAGGTTGCCAGCAAAGCGGCAAAGCCTAACCGATTTAAAATGTGAATTTGACAGGATGTTTCTTATGGAGCCAACGTTAGAGCTCTGGCTCACCGTCGCGGCGATCACCAGCATTTTCTTTGGACTATTCATCGCCTTAGCCGGTCAGTAGAGTACAATAACGATTAGGTGTCATGCTCGGAGGTTACATAGGATGTAGTACACACGCTTAGGCATACGGTCAGCCGAAGTGGAATACAAAGCGCAAAAAGGAAAGGGAATTGCTTAACATTTCTGTGCTACAGTATGGTTGTATTTAGCATTCGTGCTGTTACAAGTAGGTATGTAATCATTTGTTTACTGTAGTTATGTATTGTTGCTAGTTGCATCCCATAGATATTGTTCTTCTGTTTGGGCGGGAGCCATGTAGCCAGTGGGCACTTACAAAAAGTAATAAAGTCCTTGAGCCAAGTGTGCGTGAGCTTATTCTGTGGGATGGCTTTCCTTGAGCCCTCTCCTTCATGTCCGTCTGGTGTGTGTGTGTGTGTGTTCAGCTGCGTTTGCTATATTATGCTATACTTATGCTATATATATATATATATATATATAAACGTGCCATCACTAACGCTCACGAAAGCAACAAGATTGCATGCAATCGGCTACGTGGATTTCGTCTTACTCATCCTTGAAGAACGTACCTCTACAATCCAATGGTCTACAGTTCAGCGTGTTTAAATTCGCGCGCGATGTGGAACAGGTCGAGGTGAGACATGGCGCTGTCAGCGTTTCATGCCGTGCACGCTAATTCACCAACAATGGAATTAACAGGCGTTCGCCTATGGCAGAAGCATTGCGAAACATATTTGATGCTGTTGCGTTTGTTCAACACACTTGAACACTTTACGGTACTCGTTCTTGCACGTGGCCGCGGATCTGGCGCTTTTTTCACGTAGCGCTGACGACTTGGCCTTCACCTCGCAAGCACTTGGCTGCAGTCGGTGTCTTCTCGTGAGTTCGAATCGAGTGCGGCAACGCCGTACGGTAAAACTATCCCAGTCGAATAAAAGGTACTTGAAATAACGCTATTATCTCCGTAATCGTCGCATAAAATCCTAACTAGCGAGGTGGAGAGAATCGTTGTAGCACATACGCCACCCCTTTATTTCCTTTAAGCTTCAAGAGAAATTAGGGGATATCATGTTGGATATATTGCTGTTAAGTCAAGTCCATGCCTTTCTCGTAGTCCGTATACCCGTAACAGAGCGATCGCGGGTCTTCAGTTCGCAACAGTCATAAAATGTTCCTCAAGAACGTTTTTTTCAAGGCGTGTTTGCCTCTTTTTGCAAAGTGAGGAGCATTCTTTCCCCTTTCAGAGGAAAAACTCAGCAAGCAAACTGCTTAAATGTGTTCTTCTTAGTAATAAGCTTGTTCTTTTTCTCGGCCTATCTGCCCTTCTTCCAGTTTGCTTGTTTTTCTCTAGGCCTGCATTGCCGCATGGCCTTGCGGTGAGGTCGCTGAAGCGGCAGCCAGGAGTGCTCAAAGTAGCAGGGTCATGTGGACACGTCTTCTACTTCTGCGATTCATGTTACTGAAGCCAATTTTGTGCTAGCGCGGAAACGACAGAAAGTCTCTTTCTTGTCGAAGGTTAGCCGAGAACTAACGGTGTAGCTTAGACAAAAGCGGAGGCGCTGTGGATTTTTGATGGCGTGGTTTACAGTGGCTCCTGAAGCAGAAGATAATAGGTTGTCATAATACTTGTGATGTTCTTTGATATTCAGGGGTAGCTCCAACGGTGATCACAGTTCTCCTTAGATAGTGGGACCGTTTGGGTGAAAGCTAGCTTCTGGGCCTGAGACGAAAGAAACGCCGTGAAATATCTTTCGCTAAACGCCACAAAAGTACATTGGGTTAGAAAATATAAATGGGATAATATGGCAACGTTTAGATGCGAGGTTTAGAAACAATGATCAAGTAGACATGGGAAGTGACTTTTGAAGGGCAATACCTGCTGTGACATATTAGTGACATCTTTTTTAACTTAGTCGGCCCAAGACTGAACTAGGTGCAAATCTAATTTCGACGAATTTGTTATCCAGGTATAAAAGGAATCATCGTGAAAGACTTTCTGCTTGGATCTAAGCGACCATTTTACCACTGCACAATCACGCAAGATCAATTAGATTGCGCTACAATGTGTACATATATATATATATATACACATCCATTAAGTTCCAATTTCCAGCTTTAAAAGGCAAATATAATTGCGGCTCACCACACGTGTTTGATCTTATCTAGTCGTCGCTCAAATCGTGAAGCATAATTAAACAATTAAATTTGAGGTCCAACGCACAAGTACCCTATACACCCTAAGTTATCGACATGCGTTACACATGCACAAAGGACCCCAAACAGTGCTATGTGATTTTCGTTTCTTAAAAAGTGTCCTTTTCCAGATTTACACGGATAATCCGGCAATACGTTGATCATCTATGTTTGTTCCATTGTTGACAAGTTTTAGCACAACGCTACATAAACGTAAGACTGCCCAACGGTTCTTCTTAAGCCTGTTCGCATAATATACGTTGGCTGGCAGTGAACGGATACTTAGATATACTGTCGACTGTAATATACGACAACGTCAATGCCGCACATCCACACACGGATTCGCGTACAGGATACATTTAACATAAAAGGAACGGCAGGTTGGTCACTCGATCTCGCTGTGCTTGTCATTGGCACTTCTCAGTGCGGGCGCGTCGAGATCGATCACAGCGTGCCATCGGAGGTACCATTAAAAGGCCAAAAGCAGTCTCAATTGCGATTCCCATTGTTTTCAACCAGGGCGAGGAAAATCCAATGAATAATGTGTTTGAAGACCTGTTCTTTCTCTGCCATTTTGAGTTTTCCGAATGTGTTCGCTGCTTGAATGGAGGCGGGCGCATCAGTGAAAGTTAGAAACGGTGTTAGTGGGGTTAACATATGGGGACTTTGTCGGCACCATCGTGCAACAGTCCGACCTTTTTGCCACAACTGTTTTATCTGTTAGAACTTCTGCAAGCATTTATCCACAGAATATTACGAGAGCTATATTTCAGTTAGCTCAGACCGCCTGGTCGGCTTGTTACGTCGGTGAAAACATGGAATTGTAGCGTTGGCAAGCTGCAACATCGCTCTGCTTCTCGAAAAAGCAAATTCATCGTCTTCTATCTTGTCGTTCTGTGTGCTCACAAGCGGGAATTAAGCTATATGGACGTACCGATAACACGGACAGCTGAAACGGGCTTCCACATCTTTAACTATCTGTGTTCGTCGATGAGCTGTTGTGTGACAACAAGCATTTTTTATTTGGTTCACGTAACCGTTTCAGACAAAAGGCCTCCACAATCACATTTAAGGCACGAACAACGAAACGGTCCACTTTAGAGGCGGAGTTCGCTATATATATTATGCGACAGTACATTTGTGCGTCGAGTCTCAGACCACTCGCCGGACCCTGTTGTGCAACCAATCACGTCAGGACGTTCACAAGCCGGTAACGTGGTCTGTACTAGAATTTTCCGTTACCTTTACCAAGCAGCGCGTATAACTTAGTAGTAGTAGTAAGTATTCATGGGTCGTAGATACATTCATAGATCGCCGCTGATCACATTACTGCAATAATTTTATTAGGTAGCTAAAGGATGATTTTAAATTTCGCTGAAACCCGCCCTATAATCTACCAAATGTACATGTAACCTTGCGTTTCATCCGTTCCTTTGTCGAAATATAGACCAAACGAGTAGAAGAGATGTATTTCCTTTGGACGAGTCCATCAAACCCAATGTCGAGGCCCAGTGCATAGAACACTGTTTAAGGCCCTTAGTCGTCTTGGGTTTAGCTTGCAGCCTTCCCGCAATATTGGAATCATTCGATTGCGTCTCTATCGTTGCATTTTACACGCGACACGTTTAATTGACCACCTTTGTTACGCTGATGTTGAGCTAAGTGTACGGGAGAGGCTCACATTTTTCTTTTCAACGTATATATGTGGCGTTTGGTTCTAGAAAAAGAAAGGGGATAACCCGGCGGACGAATCGTTAGGTCGAAAAAGGCGGGTGTACTACTAGTGGTGAGTAACGTTGTCGCCAGTGGAGACATCACCGGATTTCTGGTAACGTTCAAGTTATGAGAAGTTTCATGTAGCTTCATTTATGATTACGGAAAGAAAGTATGGATACATTCATAAGTTTTACAGACATATCAACGAGCTTCTTAAAGATGTACAAATGTGTGCGCATTTGTTCAGCCCAACATCTCATACTTGGTACGGCACACAGGATGTTTAAAAAGTCATGTTATCTCAATAAATGTACAGAAATGCACGAAAGTGATTTCATTATGTGGATACTCTATATCAGCATAATATGAAAGCCAACCGTGTTTGCTTTTCTTCTCTCTTTGGTTATCGACAATTATTGGAGAACCTTCTCTAGAAAAAAAAGTGCCTTTTCCTTAACAGATAGCCCACGAACGACAGACAGACAGACACCGTCATCGGCTACTTACTCAAAAAGGCCGTGTCAGTCTCGAGTTTATTGCCACCCTTTCATCAGCCTCAAAAGACATTTGACATTCGGTCCTAACAGTTCCACCTTTAAATCTAGCAACGTTGGCAGCTGCAACGGGCGAAAAACCTTTTGATGAAAAAACATTACTATGTTATTCCCTACAGAGGTATTAGTCAGACTGACTCGCTGTGAACGGGAAAAGAGATGGCCGCGTCAGTGTCGAATTGCAGTCGTTTTTTTCTTACGTTTTTCTATGAGCATAATTCCGAACCGTAGAGAAATAGGGAGTTGATTGGTGATTGCACTAGAGGCCCTTATGACGGACTGGCCGGGTTAGTGGTTTATCCCCCCGGGGGTGCTCACATATGTTTGGCACCCAAGAAACTGTAAGAATAAAGTGATAAATAGGTCGAGCCAGCATATCCTCGAGACAGACAGCATGATCCTAAGGGGTCGATGGCATTTTTTCAGGAATAACTTTAACTTTAAGGAGTAACTTGTGCTCTTCACTTTCAAGTAAGGGCTCCTTCATGTGTAACACTTTCTTTATTGGCTACCATCAAAAACACAACCAATCATGTTCGGCAGGGGTGTGCTTATCCCTTGTTCCAATACAT